GGTAGCCAATGTCCAAGTTGCCCATCCCTGTCTACTCTGTGTATAGAGGGCATGGGGAAGATCCTCACTGTAAAGATTTGTTCCCTCTTTTGAGCTACTGCATCCATAGGTGTAGGTAAAATTCATCAAATTCCAAGGCTGTAAATCTTTATGGAAACAGGCTACCACATCTTTCTCCCTTGGAGTGGCTGGCAGTTCAAACCACCAACCTTTCAGTTAGCAGCTAAGCACTTTAAACACTGCACCACCAGGACTCCTTGGATATAAAGAAGACATCCAAATAATGACAGTAGCAAGTCATCACTTTGGGGTTATTCTGACAAACCACTGATTTGATCAGAGGTGATAAGAAAACCTCACTTTAAAAGGAGTTGTTCAGAGGCCACAGACTCTTCAGATCATCTCTAGAACCCATGTGGCAGTTTGAACACAATCCATTTCAGGCCCACTGACTTGCACAACCCTCATATTGTTAAGCAGATCACCTCTAGTATTCTTGAAGCAAATAAGTGACAGGCACTGTTGTAGTTGTCTAATCATACTCATGATGCTAGACAACATATGAGGGGCATCAAAAAGTTCCTGTAAAGATTTCATTATCTTTTAATTCCATTTTTCCACAAACTTTTTGAAGCCCTCTCGTATACAGCATATTTACTACATACCAGAAACTGTCTTAAGTGTGTTTACATATACTACCTTCATTTAATTTATCAAAAATCCTTGCTCATTTAAATATTTATACCCTGGTTTAATGATTTTTTTTGGAAAATTATATTACCTTATAGCCATTTTTTCTATAATTAAAAACAATATGAGTTCATACTTTTCTTACATAAAATATTAGAGTTGTCTTAACATAGTGAATTCATAAAAGCCTGTAAGTTTAAGCACTGATAATAACCATAAAAAGAACAGCTGAAAACAACGTAGTACTTACTATGTGCCAAGACTATTCTAAGTACTTAACATAAATCAACTCATTTCATCTTCATGACAACCCAGTGAAGTAGATGAGAAAGGAAGCGAGCCAACTTCCTCAAGACCTTCAGCTAACTTGACCAGAGCTCCAGCCTGGGCACTGAACCACTATGCTCTTCTGCTTTAGCTGCTTTAATACAAAAAGGATATTTTAAGGGAGAAGAACAAAACTAGATAGGAACTAAATGAGAATGTTGGGTCTCCCTGTTACTTGATACACTTAAAGAAACTTTAAAGGTTAAAAATGTCAAACTATACACAGAAAATTACTGCATGCTTCAAATAGCTTTTAAATAATTCTTTTTATCTTAAAAAGTGACTGGAGACCAACCTATTAAGGAATTGTTCAGTAAGATTCTGCTGCTGATCAGGACCATCCTCCTGATTCACACCTCCTTCAAGCAACATCTGCTGGTATATTTGTCGCTGTTGCTCCTTCTGTTCTAAATGCTGTTGGTAGCGTAATCTTTGCCTGTAATATTCTTGAAATTGTTCTGTTGAATCTCGAAGCTTAAAAATATTAGAATAAAATAATATATATTTGAGCAGACTATGATTGAATGTATGTCTTCACCCAACAGAAGTATGTGTGCATAATGAATAAAATCTGTAACTAATTACAAAATACTTGTTATACTGTTGTTTGTACCCATAAGTCTTAATACTCAAGTAGAACATATAATTTGTTTTATTCCATAGCAACAGATGACCAAACTGAATGGCCAGCCTAATATGAAAATATAAATTATAGTGGTCATAACAGGGCTCTGGTCAGAGAATACTAATACAAATCAATCTATGTTACTTACTTGGAAAAAAAACAAAAAACAACCTTACTGAGGGACTACATTATTATTAAATAAACACAGTTTTAGCCCTGTCTAACAGGCTTAATTTAATAGGTTACACTAGAGAGGAAGCTTGTAAAATTCTCTCAAAGCCAAGACTGAGTTTCAGATGTCCTTTCACAAGAAAGAATAAATAGGAGCTAAGCTTAGAAGTCTCAACATTCCTACTTCATCCTTGTAAAAGAACTGTGTAACGTTCAAACTTATAGGGCTGAGATATTTAGTGAATTCCAATACTGGCAGAGGAAGATACCCCTGGTATCTGGTCATATTGCATGGATCATGTGCACTGTGGCTACCCTGGAACAAATTAATCATCTCTAAAATTGACCACTCACAATAAACTTAACCAAAAGTCTTGTTGGGCTAACTAAAAATAAAACTGTCTCCCTTTCCAGGAAATAGTAACAATCTTCCTTTATTTCATAATGAATATAATAATAGCTCTAATGATAAAATTATCTATCTGTACTTTCAATAGTAATTTTCTACTTCATTCTTAGTATTTAGCTAAAAAAAGATTTAGCTTATTAAAGCCACCTAATCACCTCTTCTACATAATATATAAAATAAACAAATCCTACTTTACAATGCAACTGCCTTTCAAAATTAGCACAGAAAATTACCTAAAACTCTAAAAGCTTAGATAAAAGTATTACTTATAAATGTCTTGATTGTTTTGTTCATCAAATTTAATTAGTAAAATTTAGAGCATATATCTTAAGAATGCAAGCTACCCATGTTTAGTATGAGTTCAATTATTTGAATTCTAAATTATGATAAGCATAATGCCAATTGCAGTATTTTAGACTGTTAATACTTTAATTTGTTTTAAATGCCCCAAAATACACAACTAAAAATACCATATAGTCTCTAAAAGTAGGTGAGAAAATTAACCAATAATAAAAAATTCTAGTTTTTCTCTCTCTTACTCTTAAATATCAGAATTCCATTTAACCAAATATATTACTTCTTACAAAGAGAATAAAAGACACTATGTGTAGTACACATTACCTCATTTTTTTCTGGCTTAGCAGGTCCTGGGTTCTGTGATCCATTTGCAGGCTCTTTTTCTGAAACTGAGCTCTGGCCCATGATTTCACTGCTGATAGGCCGTTGTGCCTCAACGGGAGTATCACTTCTTTCAGAAAGGTGCAAAAAAGAAAAGGAATAAAAAAATCTGAGGTATGTAGGGTACAGGAGAATGTATTTTAGACAAATTTTCATTTTAAAAACAGATAGAAAACTTAGTGCTTATCAAATGCACAAATATAAATTTACACCAAAGAAAGGGCTTGAACAAATCGAATGTGTTTACAGTAGAGGGACATTGGGTTACAAAGCAAAGAGGATAGAGGCTCCAGTCTAAAGTCAGTCTGTGGCCTTGGAAAACTCACATTCTCTGTGACTGAGCTTTATCTATACACTGAAGAATAGGTGAGATGGCCTAATGCCTAAATTCTCTTTATAAACTCTCAATCTGGGATTTGTTAGTCAAACATTTTTTCCTTTAATATGTTTCTGTAACATTTTAAGAATGTGAGTTTTTATTAAAAGCCTATTTGTATTTAATATAGAAGATAAACATACCTTTTTTCAGCATTGTTAATTTATCCCAACTAGTAAGCTTGAAATCTTATGTCAGGTTGTTCCTAACATTCTTTAAAGCACTGGCAATTTCTACATTTCATAATTACTCTGTTGAAAATGTTTAATGACTAATGTTATGCAAAGATGATGAATATATATTACCTAATGGTACAAGGCATCAAGGGAACAACTAAAAAAGTAAAATGATCTCTGTATTCAATGATTAGATTATGAAGTGCCCCCACCCCATGATGAATGGCATCTCCAAGCAGAAGTGCCTGAGACATATCAGCATATAGGTCTAGGGCTCAGGAAAGTAGAGCTATATAGTCATCTTCAGAAAGGAACCTTGTGAAAGGATGCAACTGCCTAAGAAAAGGAGAAAATCAAACACAAAACCCTGGAAAATGTCTCTATTTATAGATAAATGGAGAAACCTGAGACAATAGAGAGAATGAAACAGGAACACTGACAGAGACCTTATAGAAAAACACAGAGTCACAGAAGACAATGGAGAGGGGAATCTCAAGGACTGGGTCACCAATGTCAAACGCTACAGGAAGGAGCCCTGATATCGTCAACTAAGAATCCAAACGTGTCTGCCACTAAATTGCAATGACTCAGGCAAGCCAAAATTTCCTTTGTATTACCATAGAGTCATATGAAGTTACAGAATAAAATGTGTAATCCGATATGAAGTTCCTTTAAAGATCTCACTTTGAGTGTTCTATAGAAGAGTACGTGGCTTTGGAAATTAGGTGTGACTTTCAAAAAAGTAGGTTCAATGAAAAATAAATAAAAGAATCCTTGGCAGTCTGCTTGCTGGCCGTTCTCCATTACCTAACATCAGTGCCTCAGTATGCAGTCCTGGGAGCTCTTCTCTTCTGCTGCACTTCTGACTACCCATTCCCATGGCTTCAAATTACTACCCAACTGCTGGTGATTTTCAAATAATCTCTCTAGCTCAGACCTCTTTTAAGAGACAGAAAGCCATATATCTTTACAACTTTCTACTTGCTCTCTCTCTTTGGATAGTCTCTTAGCTCCTCAAATCAATGTGTGCAAACATGCTCTCTCTCCCAAATTAGTCTTTCCCCACTCTATCATAAGTTAAAAACTTGTCTTGGACATCATTCACCCCCTTACTGACTCCACCTACCTACCATACCCCATCAGTCATTAACATTGCCCTGCATCTCGCTCAAATTCATCAGTCCCTCTCCATTTTGCTGTTGCCATATCAGTCAAAGCCACTACCACCATCTCTCCTGAGGACTAGGGCAATACCACAGACGCTCCTCACTCAACTTCCTTTCCTCACTTCACCACTGGTCAGCCAGTGACTTGAAATATAAATCTAATTAGATCATTCCTCTGATTCATTAAAAAACTTCTAAAGGTAGGAATGGAAAAAGATATTGCATGCATGGTATTGCCCCTGCTCTCATTTCCGGCCTCACCTAGCACTATTTTCTCTTCCTCAGTCACTAAACTCCAGCCACACTGTCTTCCTCTCCTCAGATTCAAAAGGCACTCTCCTATCTCTGGAACTTACAAAGACTGTCTCTTCTACCTGGAATGCTTTCCACACCTCCCATTCTCCTTTGCCTGTAGGATCAGCACTAGACCACAAGGTCAGCAGTTCAAACTCACCAGCTGCTCCTCATATACAGGGTCACTAAGATAGAACCAACTCCATGGCACTTAACAAAAACATTTAGCTTAAGCATCATTTCCTTGGGCAAGCTTTCTCTGATCTCTAAATTGGGGCAAGTCCTATAACCTCAGAGTACTCCACACAACTGTAATTAGATAATCTGTCTATCTCTTCTATTATGCAAACATGCTCCTTATTAAGATATAAATAAAACAAACAGCTTCCCAAAAATTGCTTGGCAAAATGCCCTAGCAGATAATTAAAAAACACAACAGTTGCCTTTGAGTCAATCTAGACTCATAGCAACAGATAACCAAATGGTATAAAATCAATGAAAATGAGCCTTTGTGAAATAGTTCTCATAATATAATTATATATTTAATGTAAACACGATTTCATAGCTGAACTGCTTTGCAACTGAAATTTGGCAATTAGACTTTTAAAATAAGCTTTTGCTTTGCTAAAAGCCTCATTTCTTATGTAAGAAGACAACAGTGAACTCAGAGGTTAAGGATGAAGACAAATGGGTTTGTATTAAATACTTGAAAAATATTTAAAGTTTTAATGAACTAGGGCCTCAGAACATATTTTTACTTGTGTTTCCATTTGTAGCACTTAACTGCTTTTGGGAAAGGAGCTCTGGTAGTGTAGGGGTTATGAGTTGGGTTGCTAAATTCAAGGTCAGCAGTTCAAAACTACCAGTGTTTCCACAGGAGAAAGATGAGGCTTTCTGCTCCCATAAAGATTTACAGCCTCAGAAACCCAGTACGGGGTCGCTATGGGTCGGAACCAACTCGACAGCACTTAACAACAACAACACGGGAAAGGAATGACATCCAAATTCCCTCTCACATTTTTTGGCCTCTGTCCACACCATTCCCTCTACCTGAAGCACTCCTTTCTTCATCCTTCACTTCTTAAAAGCTTTGCTTGAATCACCTCCTAAATGTTCCCACAGTATCCTTTCTAGCACACATTACAGCAAGTAACACAACACACTGTAACCACTGTTCATGAGGCTATCTCCTCCAGCAGATGGTCAGCTTTAAAGGGCAGCAAACACGTGCTCACCAGTGCATCTCTAGGTCTGGCATGTAACAGGCACGAAATATTGTATTAATGAGATGACTGAGTATACTGGTTAGAAAAGAGATTAACAAGTAATATACAATTCCTAAGTACCTAAACTTATAAACATAGATGTACACACATACCCAGAGGAGGAAGCAGAAAGACTTAGGAAGAGCTTCCAGCTACCAGACTATGCATTACGCTGCTACCGATCATAAGAAGCCTCTTTTATATCCACACAAATAGAATTTGTAAAAGTTATTAACTTTATGGCTACAAGTCCTGGTGTGGCGCTGTAGGTTAATGCACCAGACTGTAAAGTCGTCTGAACTGCAAGGTCGGCAGTTCAAGCTTACCAGCTGCTCCTTGGAAACCCTATACAGGGTCACTGTGGGTCAGAATTGACTCGATGGCAACAACAACAATAAAGAAACATTTTATTTAATTTTGTAATTTATATAATAACTCAATCTGTAATATCTCATTTTAATTGCACAATAATTTACTGTCATGGATTAACTTTGTTCACCCAGAATATGTGTCAACTTGGTTATACCATGATTCTTAGTGTTACCTTATTTTTCTCCATTTTGTGGTACAATGTATTAACCTCCATTTTGTCATCTGATATAACTCTCCTAGGTGTCACATATTCTAACCTAAATTATGTTAATGAGGTGGGGTGAGATGTAGTTATGTTTCTGAGGCAGGTACAGTCTACAGGATTAGGATATATCCTGTGTCAGTCTTGAGATATGAAAGAGATTAAACAAGTGAGCAGAGATCAAGGAACCTGATTACCACTAAGAAAGAAGAGCGGGGAGCAGAACACATCCTTTGGATCCAAGGTCCTGCACTGAGAACCTCTTAGACAGAGGGCAGAATGATGCCAGGACACATGCAGATCTCCAAGGAATGCTGGGCCTACAGATGCTAAAGGAGATGAGGGCCTTCCTCTAGAACACACAGAGATGTCTTCCCCTAGAGTCAGCACTCTGAATTCAGACTTCTCACTTTCTAAATTATGAGAGCGTAAATTTGTCAAAGTCATCTACTTGTGGTATTTCTGAGACAGCAGCACTAGATAACAAAGACACCTGTGTAATAGGTTACTTCCCATTTGCCAGATGAGAAAACGGACTAAAAAACCATGATTTTCCTATAATTGCATCACTAGTAAATAGAACTAGAACTGGAACCCATGTCTTCAAACTCTAAAACAATCTTGGTTCATGCTTAAATATAATTTGGAAACAATTATATCAAACAGCCAAAGCTTACATAGTTCAACTGATTTTACCTTCCTTTCTGTTTTGAGTCTGTTCAAATGAAAAGATTCTTCATAAAACATCATTCATTCCCTTATAAATCTTTCATGTTTATCTTCTTGTTCACCACAGCAATTCAATCATTATCCCAAGTTAATATCCCAAATAGTAAAATTTGAATATCTTTAAAATATTGACTTCAAACATGTATTACCACAAGTTGGAATCTCTGTGTGTCATCTTTAATATAACTGATCTATGTGAGCTTCCCAGTGTTTTTAGGGAGTGCAGTGGCTCTATATGATAAGCACTGGACTGCGGTTAGGACCCACTGCACATGAGGAAACTGACGTTTTCTGCTCCCACTGAGATATGTTGTTGTTGTTGTTGTCAGGTGCCATCGAGTCGGAACTGACTCATAGAGACCCCATGCACAGCAGAACGAAACAATGTCCGATCCTGGGCCAACCTCACTACCGCTGCCACACTTGAGTCCATCAATGATGCCATCTGGCTGATCCATCTCGTTAGGGGTCTTCCTCTTTTTCTCTGACCCTCCACCTTACCCAGCATGACATCCTTCTCCAGCGACTGTTTCCTCCGGACAATATGTCCAAAGTATGAGAGACGAAGCTTAGCCATCCTGGCCTCCAAGGAGCACTCTGGCTACACTTCTTCCAAAACAGATCTATTGGTTCTTTTGGTAGTCCATGGCACTTTCAGTATTCTCCTCCAACACCACAACTCAAAGGCATCAATTCTTCTACGATCTTCCTTATTCACTGTCCAGCTTTCGCATCCATATAAGGCTATTGAAAACACCATGGCCTGGGTCAGGCGCACCTTAGTCCTCAAGCTGACATCTCTGCTCTTCAATACTTTAAAAAGTTCCTGTGCAGCAGATTTGCCCAGTGCAATACGTCGTCTGATCTCTTGACTGCTGCTTCCGTGAGTGTTGATAGTTGATCCAAGAAGAATGAAGTCCTTGACAACTTCAATCTTTTCTCCATTGATAAGAATGTTGTTTATTGGTCCAGTGGTGAGGATTTTTGTTTTCTTAACATTGAGATGTAATCCATATCGAAGGCTGTGCTCTTTGATCTTCATAAGTAAATGTTTCAAGTCTTCACTTTCAGCAAGCAAGGTTGTATCATCTGCATATTGTAGGTTGTTAATGAGTCTTCCTCCAATCCTGACGCCACGTTTTTCTTCATAGAACCCCGCTTCTCGTATTATTTGCTCAGCATACAGGTTGAATAAGTATGGTGAAAGAATACAACCCTGTCTCACACCTTTCCCAATTTTAAAACATTCAGTGTTCCCATGTTCTATTCGAACAACTGCTTCTTGGTCTAGGTACAGATTTCTCAGAAGTACAATTAAGTGTTCTGGAATACTCATACTTCTCAATGTTGTCCATAGCTTGTCATGACCCACACAATCGAAAGCCTTTGCGTAGTCAATAAATCACAGGTAAACATCCTTCTGGTATTCTCTGCTTTCAGCCAAGATCCATAGGATATCAGCAATGATATCTCTCGTTCCACAGCCTCTTAATCCAGCTTCACTGGAAGTTCTCTGTCAATGTATGATTGTAATTGTTTCTGTATTACCTTTAGCAAAACTTTAATCGCTTGAGATATCAAAGAGATTGTCCTATATGATTTCCGCATTCTGTTGGGTCACCTCTCTTTGGAATGGGCATAAATATTGATCTCTTCCAATCAGTCGGCCAGATAGTTGTCTTCCAAATTTCTTGGCAGAGATGAGTGAGTGCCTCTTGTGCCGCCTCACTTTCTTGAAAGATTTCAATTTTCATTCCATCAATTCTTGGTGCCTTGTTCTTTGCCACTTCTTTCAATGCACTTTGGACTTCCTCCCTGTGTATCATTGGTTCTTGTTCATATGGTATCTCTTGAAATGGTTGAACATTAACCATTTCCTTTTGGTACAATGACTCTGTGTATTCCTTCCATCTTTTCTTGATGCATTCTGCATCATTCAATAATTTGTAAAGAAAGTTGAGGCTTGAATTTTTTCTTCAGTTCCCCCAGCTTGAGAAATGCTGACCGTGTTCTTCCCTTTCGGTTTTCTAACTCTAAATCTTTGCATATTTTATTATACAGCCTCAAAAACCCTACAAAAGTCACTGTGAATCAGAACCATCTTAAAGGCACTTCACAACCAAGTGTTTTAAAAACTAAGTAAAGTTTTTCCAAAGTAAATTTAATACTTTATTCATAGCACAGTAGCTCTACCAGAGTCCTTTTAACACACTGTCCTTACCAAGGGCATGAACTCTGGAGGGGAGACATTGTCATTAAAGGACCACCAATTGCATGTTTGCCACTCTGCTAGGAGCCTTAATTCATTTTGGAAGTCAACTCTATTAGTCCAATTTTATAGAGGAGGTAACTGAGCTTCAGAGAGATAAGTAAATTTCTCAAGTTCACACAGCTAGTAAATGGCAAAACTACTGCTCAAGCTCAATTCTGATTCCAAAGGCAACATTAATTTCATTATTCTACACTGCCTTATAAATTGTTCAACTGCAGATGTTCTCTGGATTATTGCTACAGCTCACCTGGTAAATACATTTATAATTTACTTTTTGACATAACATATTGTAACTGTCTATTTTTAATGGTCTGACAACATATTCCATTTCTTGACACATACATATGACCTAATGTATGTGCCAAGAAGTGGACTATCTCTATCCATTTATTCCTCAATTTCTACTACTCTCTCTTTACACAGAAACAACACCGTGTGCAGTCAGATTTGGCTACATTTTTGTGCATCTTTTTTCTCTAATGAAGCACAGGTCCAAGCATGCCATTCAGACACTAATCAAGCGGCTCTTGTTACCTTATGTACAGTGAAGACTGTCAACAGTTCCCCCAGAATTGACATCCAGCAGCCTAGATGAAAATTTTTTCTGAAGGGGTTGCAGCATCCAAGACTTAAATAGTCTCTACCAATGTTAAAGACTCCTTATTCCACTGTCATTCATAGGAAATTATACTCATCCACTTTCAGCTCTAGCTCTCATGTCTGGATTTCAAATATTAAGTATGAAGTGAGGAGGTACCTTAAGAAGTCACTAGCCTATTCTCTAGGCTTCAGGAAGTCCTCAGCTAACCGACCCTAGAATCTCTCCTCTTAAAAGAACATTAAAGAAAGTGTCACAAATTTCTTCTACAATCTTAACAGAAAATACTTCCCTATATGTTTATTGTTTCTTAAATGTTAACTAAAGATCTCTTGCTTTAATCAGAAACAGAAATTCCAAGTCTAGTGCCTCTCCTTAAGCATAGAATACATCCAACTGTCCTATGTGACTATGAAAAGATTTGGTTTTTATGCTCTTTCATACAATAAATTTATTGTAGTCAGTACTAATATTTCATAGGATCAACTCTGAGTTATAGAAAACCCATGTCCCAATAGGTTTCCTAAACATACAAGGCAAAAGTTTTACAGAACTATTTATCAGGAGATCATTACTTTATGCCACATAGAAGGAAAATCTGAATGGTGGTTTTAACATTTACTTCCTTCATGTCTGTATTGTTATTGTTAAGAGTCGTCAAGTCGGTTCTGACCCATAATGACCCTGCAAAGGTTATCCGAGGAGAGGCTGGTGAGCTATACCACAGATCTTGTAGTTCAAACTGACTTTGCAGTCCAGAGCTTCATGTACATTAAGGATAAGTAGAAATTATCAGAAATTTTTTATATGTACATGGTTGTTCATTGCAGTACTATTTACATGAGAAAAAACAAAACAAAACCTTGAAATCACCTGATATCCATCCTACACTAAGAAATTGGTTCAATTTAGGGCACAGCCATGCAAGCAATGGAATACTGCACACTCATTAATAATAACTGATCTCAAGAAACTTTCAGAATATGGAAAATATTCATGATCTACCAAATGGAAAAGGCAGATTATATAAAAATACATATGGCATAATCCCAATTTAAAAAAATGTATCCATAGAAAAAGAATAATCATTTAAGTGTACTATTTGTAAGATTTTAATCTTCATCCTAATAATCTCCCATTTTCCCCAAATTTTCTTCAATGCACATGTATTACCTTTATAATCTACTAAAGAATAACATCCCCCAACCCATATCCACTTCCGCTGAGTCAAGTCTGACCTGTCCTATCGGGTTTCCAAGGCTGTAAGCTTTATGGAAGCCGACTGCCACATATTTAGTGGCTGGTGGGTGTGAACTGACCTTTTCAATAGCACCCAAGCACTTTAACCACTGTGCCATCCGGGCTCTTTAAAAAATATATATATACACCCAAACCAAACCCACTGTCATAGATAGCATGGTGGTGGTGGTGGTGGCACCGTGGAGTTGGTTATAACTCATAGAGACCCTATATAGGGTTTATGAGGCTGTAAATATTTACAGGAGCAGAAACCCTCATCTTTCTCCTGCAGAACAACTGGTATTTTCAAACTGTTGACCTTGAGGTAGCACCCCAACTGTAACCAATATGCTAGGATATAAGAAATTTTTCCTTATACATTTTATTATCAAAAATTAAAAACCCTTTTCAAAGTTACTCAGAAATGTGCTTTCACATTTAAGAACTTTCAATGCAAAGTATTTAAACTTTAAGAAAACACACCCATTCATTTGTACCAGAAAAACATTATCTCATTTTAATGGGTATACTCACTGCTCAGGGGATTCTTCATAAATACTATGACATTCTGTATTCTCAAGCATAAGACTTCTACTAAGGTTTTGTACCCCTGGGTAATGGAAGTTAGCAAAGGAGTGTGACATTGGAGAAGTTTTGTTCCCAAGGTCTGAGATTCTTTTATCATTGGTCAGTCCACAGGTGAGTCCATCTAAAGCAGGATTTAGAGAACGGGTCATATAAGCATCAGCTGACTGAGGTCTTCTCATTGGGGATGATGGATAAGGAGAAAGTTTGCTGATAAGAGGAGTCAAAAGATCGGCATATGCAGCTTTTGTAGGTTTCAGAAGTTTGTCAACATGAATATTAAGCATTTTCTGTTCAAAAGCACAAGAGAACACAGAAGATGGAAGATTCTGAAGCCATGACAATAAACTCAGATCCAAATCATCACAACCATTACCACATAAGAGGTCAATGCCAAGAAGTACTTCACTTTCTGTAATTTCTTCTCCAGTTGCTTTACTCTGACAAAATTCCACACAACATTCGTATAGCAGACCCTTCATTACAAGCTGAAATAAACGATTACTACTTGCTTTAAAGCCAGCTTCACTAAGCTTCCTATCAGCAGGGATAAATTCTGCGACCATGACACAAGCCTCTTCGAAACAGTGAACTCGTGCTGTGCTGGGGTTCCAGTCCTTAAATTCAGCATGATTGGTCAGACGAGGCAAAGTCAAAAGCAAACAGAGCTTGCTATAATCATCTTTAGAAGGGCAGTACTCTTCTAGGGCATGTAAACATTGTACAGCTTCTTGCATGGTAAATTCCAGCTGTAAAAGAAATATAAATAATTATAATGAGGAGAAATGTTGTGAGATATGAAAACAACAAAATTGTTTCATTCAAAAACAAATAC